GTCAATGTTTGTATCTCTTATTCTCTTCCCGAAGCACGCGTGTGGTTTGGCAGTCGGAATTTGCGTTTGTTCACAAATTTACATAGTGTTTTATCTTAAAAATATGTATTGCTGCTCTTGTGGCAAGGAGTTACAAAGTGCCTTTGTGTTCTGCCCATCATGCGGAACGAGAAAGGGCGAAACAAGCGGTATCATTAGTCCGTCAAATACAGAAACGGACAGCGCCAATGCAGATAGCAGCAAAAGAAAACGGCAATCAGCAAGCACGAATCCTCCATCGTTTTCGGCGTACATGAAGCAGAAGGAGACAGAGAGACAGTCTCATTTCAAGCCAAATAAAAAGAAGGGCCGCGTGGGAGAAACACAAGCCAAAGCTAAAGATGAAGTTATCATTAACGTTGGCTTGATGGAATACGAATATGGCGAGGCCAAAATCCAGCGTGGCAAGTCATTTCCTGTGAAATTGTCCAGAGATATGGGTTATGACGAGGTAAGAGAGAGAGCGTTGAAAAAGTGGGAGGATTACGACAGAACTTTTTCCAGAGATCGTGGATACGTCGTAACGTTTCAAGATGGAAAATTGGCGAAACAGATACCTGGCAGCTCAGAGGAATTCACGCTGAGAAAATACAAAGAAGGGCTTGGCAAGAGCTATAGTAGAATAGTCCTGTACCTTTGCCCTGCGACGGAAAAAAGGATAGAGAGTACAATGCCAATAACAAACTGGTTAAGTGAAGAAGAAGCAGAGATAGAGAGGGTTTTATGGGACTCTGACAGTAATGTAGATGATTTCGCTGATGATTTCATTGATTCTTCCACTGAGGCATCTGCCACTCCTGTTCCTGTTCCTTCTCCTCACCAGCCTGAGGTTATACAGCTTTTTGAGGTTGCTGACTTTTTGTAAGTACTTCTGTTTTTGTATCAGTCAAATCCAAGTGTCCCCCTCCCCCTGGGCAACTGCGGGGCATTTTCCTGTCAAGCACGTCCCGGGGGGTGGGAATGCAAACCTTTTCCCAGGGGTGGGGCATTTGAAATTAAGAATATGGAGGTTTCTAAAGTCTCTAGAATTAAGAGCAAGATGCCACAAACTTCCATGATAAACCAGAGTACAGTATATAATAAAACCAGTCAAATGGAACAACCACACCACAAACTGTCAAACTTTTAATATAAATGCACACTAGAGTGTGACGACCAGTGCTTTCACTATTCAATTTAAAAATTCCTGTGATTTGTGCCAAAATTTTCTTGAAAGTGGAAACGCTGGACTGGGCTAGAGTTGACACACAATGGTGAATTAATAGGCGATAAATTTTTCTAAAATACAATCCAATTATTTCCGGGGTAGGGGATTTGCTAACATGGTTTTTATCCCCAGCCCTGGGAATTTGTCGTATATTTAAAAAAAATTGGAACAAGCCCGGGGGGGGGACGGGCATACTGGGATTTGACTGATACATTTGTTTGCAATCAATCTGGGAGTTTCTTTTCAGACACATTTGCAGGGAGCTTATTTGAGAGGGGTGGGGGCTTTCCTCAAATATCCTCTGTTATAAATTAATTTATATCTCTCATTTCCATATCATTTTAGACCTATTGGCTTGGATGAGAATAGTGCTGTGCAACAGGCAATAGATGAAAGCATTCAACAACTTGGGAATACAGAGGAGGAAGAAGTGAAAAATGAAGATCCAAATGACCTGGAAGATGAGAGTGTTGTTATTTTGATTAAAGATCATGCCAATAAAATGGTTAAAGGAGATCCACGAAGTGTTGTGGTGAGCAGATTAAGTATCTGGGAAACAGCAAAACCGTATTTCTTACGACAGAGATTTCTGCAAAGAAATAGTTTGTTACGGGTAACCTTTGCTACATTTGAAGGCCAAGAAGATGCAGTTGACAATGGTGGTCCTCGTCGGGAATTTTTCCACTTACTTCTTGGAGCGATGTCTAAAGAGAGTGGGACTTTATTCAGTATGTTCATTAGAATTTATCTTTACTAGTATGATAGTCCATAGGTGGCAACTGTTAGTTGTTGTTTATGACTATTTATAATCAGCATTATACAGTTGAACTTGAAATTGCAGCCAGCATTCACATGTTTATTAGAATCTGCAGATTCTTGACCTTAGTTTTGAAATCAACATACCAAGTTAGTTGGTTGAAAAATAATATTAAACCTTATTGCCATGGTACTTGTTCACTGTTACTGTATATACAATACCCAGATTACACATAATCATAATTATTTTTCATACATTTGTAGATACTTCAGAAGGACACATTATCAGGCCCAATTTTAAAGCCCTACAAAGTAGTGCATTCTCAGTGGTGGGGAAAATGCTTGCAACAATGATTGTTCAAGGAGGAGAGTTACCCCGTATTTTCAGCCCCAGTTTATGCCAGTACATTCAGGGTGGAATCGACAATGCATTTCCCCAAATAGATGAGGTAGCAGACATAATTGTACGAAAGTCTTTAAAGAAGGTAAGCAAAAGCATTGAGTAGTGGTAATTACAACACAATGATCTGGTTAGTGGTTTCTGCACTTCACTTGGTAATATTAGAATTCTGTTTTTAGGGTTTGTAATCCAAGTGAATATATATTACATTTCAGGACCTAACCAGGAATAACTGCGAAAAATGCAGCACAAGGTCCTCTGGTAGGAATTGAGAGGACCTTGTGCTGAATTTTTCACAGTCGTTCCTGGTTAGGTCTTAAGAGAGGATGTCCACAAAAATCAAACATAAAGCGGCCACGACTGAAAAATCGATTTTGCTCAAATTTTGCCCAGATATACCTTATTATATCGGAAAATGCACCATATATTTTTTTAGGTCAAATGCTTTTTTAACTTTGAGAAAATGCCGTTTTAACATGACCACCCTAAATCGCCATTTTTTGGGGGAAAATATGCGCTGATTTTACAGATAAATTTCACGACGACAACCGTTTCTAATCGATCTAAAACCCTAAAAATCTTGTTTTCGGTTATTCAAAGGACTGTGTACATGACTTACAGGAAATCTGAGTTACTTTTAGGAATAGAAATAATCGTAGTTTTGGAGCACACTATCTTACTTCATTTGCGATACCCTCTTAACAAAATCGATTTTCACCATGCGATAAAGCTCCAAATCGATCATGCTTCTACTAGTTGGCTCTTGAATAAAAAAGCTTTCAATTGACGTAAATACTTCTTTTGGCAAACGAATACGCGATAAACGACAGCGCGTTGAAATCTTCCGTTTTTGACGTCTTGCAAGTCAAACGCTGTTAATTTATACACCGTCGAAGTAAACAATTTAATCAAGTATTCTAAGTATTTTACCTTTTGAGAAAAAACATATTCTTGAATGGGGACTTTTCACTTTGCTAAGTTTAAAAGTGGTCCAGAAATCCCAGTATATTTGTAAAAAAATCATCAAACATCCAGTATTTTGAGACATTGTTGACAGTTGCATGATAACTTCAGATCATTATTCAACGTGATCTACGACCCGCCGACCCGGCCGTTTGACTTTTAATAACGCTAACATATACAAATCGATGAGCTATTTAAGGATTATATTTGCTACTAAATTCCCCAAAAGAATTGGAACTACAACTGCTGTTTTCAGAGGTTTTGATCCATTTTGTCCATATTAATGTACCATTTTATTTATCGACTGATTTTTACAAATACGTAAGTTAATTATTAAGCAGCTGTTAGCGTGCGTGTACATGTGAGATGAACGTTTATAATGTTTATCCAAATAAGGAGTTTTTATTTTTAGTTTACCAGCCCTTATATTTGAATAGTCGTTTTCTTTCAAGTTGTTTTCTTTTTCATACTCTGCAAAGTTGATTCCGAAATGTTAAGGTATGCGAAAAAACTATCGAACTTTTCTATGATATTTACAGAGAAACGTCACAGCTGTAAACCCCCCTCCCCCACCCCCAAAACGAACATATGACGTTTCTTGTGGAAAAATCGATATGTGAGGCTTCCCTAAAACTGCAAGGTTTACACTATTGAATTAAAATCCCACAGACCACAACGATTATACGTATTGATTGTTTCTTGACGATAGTAGACGCGTACGTGCATGTTGCGGAAGAGGTTATTTCGCTGGCCTCAGAGTGACAAAAGGTACCCTGGTTCTAGACTGGGGTTTAAAATAATAAACCTCTGTTTGAAAGCGGCAATTAATTCATCGAGCCGCGCCAATCAGCTTGAATTAGGGTAGATAGTTATGATAAGACAAGGGCGGCGCCAGGGCCGCCCATGCAGGGAGGCGGCAAAGGGAGCAATTTTCTCCGCGACCCCAGCTCAAGGAAGACAGGCAAATACAAATTTGCAAGCCGATAAAAAGTTTGTCGACGGAGGGGGGTAATTGTGGTTCACCGGGGCCCCAAGGGTATAATTGGCCCTGGGGCCCCATATTTCACTGAGCTGGTTTGGGCTGCGCCAGTATTTCTCCGACGGGGGGAGTCATCAGTGCCCTCTTTTGATCTTTGTCAATTGGCATTAAAACCGCAAGAACTGCCGACAAGTGACCAGCTGGGCCGGATTAACGTCGCGCGAGGCCCGTGGCAAATTTTAGCGCGAGGCCCCCAAACCTCCCCCTTTCTTCTTTTTATGAAAACCATTGAATTTAAAGACACACAAAAGTGTTAAATAATTTTTTTCAATATTTCAATTTATTTGCATCAATTATAAACGAGATAATGGCCTGCCTGGCGCAGTTGGTGGGTATAAACAGGATCATAATATAACAGCTCAACGCAACTAAAGATTATATGAACACGAGTATTGCATATTTTCCCGGGTCCGTGCTAGGGCGAACTGCCAAGCCTATAGGGGCCCTAAATGCGCGAGGTCCCTAAATTCGCGAGGCACCTAAAATGGGTGTATCCCAATAGAAAATGGCCGTGTTCTCGTAAAAATGGGCGTAGTACAGTATTAAAGCGCGAGGCCCATGGCATTTGCCGTATTTGGCACGTGGTTAATCCGGCGTTAAACGAGCAACAAGCTTTCATTTTCTTTAAACGCGACGTATGGGGAGACAATAATAATTTGTGATGTCGCACTGGGCCAAATTACTTTTATTTTTGGGTACTAGTACTTGTGAAATATAATAAGATCAATAGACATTAGTGTATCAAAATAAAGTAATTTTACTGATTATTTTAACTGTGCATCAAAGTAAACACACATTATTCTAAACTACAGTATTTGCTATATGCCTATAATTTGAGTTTGAGGTGGTAGAATATATAATAAAATAACAAATCCTTGTATGGATAAATGTTCATTTCACACGCACGCTATTAACCGCTGCTTAATAATTAACTTATGTCTTCGTAAACATTTATACTCGATAGTCGATATGTAAATACTAAATGGTACATTATATGGATCAATGCAAACTGGAACAAAACAACAATTGTCAATTGAAGTTCTAATTTTGGGAAAATTAGTAACAAATATAAAACCACTAAACAGCTCATCGATTTGTATGTTTGCGCTATTAAAAGTAGACAATATTGAACAATGATCTGAAGTTGTCACGCAACTGACAACAATATTATATTTCAAAATACCTGTATATGATGATATTTTACAAATATCTCGGGATTTTTGGACCAATTTTAAACTAAGCAAGGTAAAAAGTCTCCATTCAAGACTATATCTTCTTCTCAAAAGGTAAAATACTTAAAATACTTGATTAAATTGTTTACTTCGACGGTATGTAAATTAACAACGTTTGACTTGCAAGACGTCAAAAACGGACGATTTCAACGCGCTGTCGTTTATCGCGTATTCATTTGCCAAAAGAAGTATTTACGTCAATCGAAAGCTTGCTTATTAAAGAGCTAACTAGTAGAAGCATGATCGATTTGGAGCTTTATCGCATGGTGAAAATCGATTTTGTTAAGAGGGTATCGTAAATGAAGTAAAATAGTGTGCTCCAAAACTACGCTTATTTCTATTCCTAAAAGTAACTCAGATTTCCTCTAGTCATGTACACAGTCCTTTGAATAACCGAAAACAAGATTTTTAGGGTTTTAGATCGATTAGAAACGGTTGTCGTCGTGAAATTTATCTGTAAAATCAGCGCATATTTCCCCAGAAAAAATGGCGATTTAGGGTGGTCGTGTTAAAACGGCATTTTCTCAAAGTTAAAAAAGAATTTGACCTAAAAGAATATATGGTGCATTTTTCGATATAATAAGGTATATCTGGGTAAAATTTGAGCAAAATCGATTTTTCAGTCGTGGCCGCGAAATGTCTCATATGTTCGATTTTTACTGACATTCACTCTTAATATATTATATATATATATACTCACTTGGATTACAAACCTTAAAAACAGCATTCTAATTACAACACATTTTAATTTGAGCAGTATTTTTAAGCCCTTTTTCAAGACCATTGAAAAACACTACACTACCCTACTATTGTATACATTCATTGTAAATTTTAGTTGCAAGAAGCAAAGACCCAGCTTGATGTCAACAAATGTTGGACTGAATGCGAGTGGAAAGTAGATATAGATGGATTGCCTTTAAAGATCAATCTCAATGAAAGACACATATTGGTTAATGAAATCACCAAGTACTATGTCATCATTAGATGTAAATCTATGCTGGATCAATTTATCCAAGGCCTTTCATATTATGGGGTTTGATATTTTCATACTATTTACCGTACTATTTGTGTAATAACTACAGTATGTCACCCGATTTTTCAGAGTTAATAAAAAAAGCATGGCCGGAACTGGAACTCTGTTGTTTTCAGAGAGATAGAATATCAAACGTTTTTGTGTCTAACAAAAGTTCACAGTAGGAAGTCATTTGGAGTACACAAGGAAAATATGCACCATTAACATTTCATTATGACGTTTAATGTTTGTCAATATTTTTATTCTAATGTATGGCTTAATAAATCAGTTCCGGTTCCGGCCGAAACTTTTCAGTTCTGGCCGGTTCCGGCCGGAACTTCAAAAATTAGTTCCGGTGCACCCCTAAAAAACGTCTGATTAACTAATTGGCACACATAGGTGTATGGATAACAAAATTTTAGGGGGGCAGCCGATTTTTGCCTGATGTGACCCCACCCAGTTATTTTGCCCGATGGTGAGCTAAAAATTGCCCAACTGGTTCTATAACTATTGGTTCTAAAAATTGCCTGGTTGGGTCAAAATTAGGAGCCCCCCCCCCCCTTGTACACCTATGCTGACTGTATAATTTGAGATGACAACTATTTCTTCACAGGTATTAGATTTTATCAGAAGCAGTAAAGGGATGGCTCATCATCTATTTTCGTGCAAGAAAGGTGGCAAAGTGAATGTTCAACAGGTGATAAAAACATTGAAGCCTGCTTTTTCACCACAAGGAAACCAGCGAAGAGTTAAAGAAGAAATAGTGATGGCAATATTCATTGCCTTTTTAAAATCAATTGAAGGTAAACATTTTTAAATACTAACTTACAATACATGAGCAGGGCTCGAAACTTGCGGTATCCAGATATCCACAGGATATCAGATTTTCATTTTGAATACTGGGTATCATAAGCTCAGTATCCCAACTGGATACTAGGAAAACTTAGAAATTGCTATAGTAGATAATAATCTAGACTTTGGGCATGTTTCCGAACTTCAATGTCTACGGATTTTGTCAGAATATTTAAAAAAAAAATTTCACAAACAGTGCTTTCTTTCGTATCGCCGCAGTGTGTTATTTTCAATTTTTTCGAATTTCAATACACATTTTTATTATTGAAACTAAAGGCCTGGTTTTTGTTCAGCAACTGAAGGCCTGGTTGCAAGGTAAAATTTTGCCTTGCTTAGATACTGGAAATAGAATATCTAGTATCCAAATCTGGGTTACTATATTTCAAGGATGGATACTAGATTCTATGATGCTGGTATCCACTTGGATACTGACAAAAATTTTAAGTTTCAAGCCCTGCATGAGACTTTTAACAGTGGAAATTAATGCATATTGTTTTCTATTTCAGATGGTACTTTACAGGAGTGCTTAGAAGACAGTGATTGGAAATTAACCGAACAAGAGAAAAGCATCATTCCTTTGTTGACACCAAGCCATATGCTACTGTTTGCAACTGGGGCAGCCAACACACCATCTATTGGTTTTGATCCGAAACCAATGATAACCTTTGTTCATGATGAGGGAAAGTCTATTCCTAGTGCACAAACCTAATCCAATGCATTATATTTATATGTCAATGATAAAACAACAAATGGTGACTTATCACATGACCTCCTTACAGCATTAATGAATGGAGGCATTTTCAGCAAATTGTAAAACTAATAATTAGGAAATTGAACAGTTCAATAATATGTTATTGGCACTATAATTGAACATTAAGTTTAAGGTGGAATACTTATATACATTATTTAATCATTGTATAAGTTGTTATTAAAAAGTTTTGTTATTTTGTTAAGTTTGTTAACAGAACCAGTTATCAACTTGTCATTCGACCCCCATCCTCACCCAGGGAAACATGGGGACTGGACCTTTGTAGACCCAGATGCCAGAAAATGCCCCACCTATGGGTGTAATCAGAGTGATTAAGTTTCATTATACAATATATTTAAATTAATAGACTTAAATATTTGAGGGTACCGTATTAAAACCTTTTAGAGCGAACAGCTAATGGTTATGCTCTATGTTTCCCTGGGGTAGAGGTTTCCAATGACAAGTAAACTGTATTTATGGCAAGTAGCCTAGCCTTCTGCAATTTCGCAAAACCTGTTATATTGATCCAAACATTCTCTCCAATTCGTTGGTTCACCTAAATGAAGTTGCTCGAAAATCTCACCAAAGTATTCCTGATACAAATTGTCTTCATTATATTCATGGCAATACTGAGACATATCATCAAATTGTTCATCTGTGACAGATTTTATGTAATTTCTACCACCTGGGCACTCGGAAAGAAAGTATAACTCGTCTGGTCTCCCGGAAATAGTATCAAATCTTGACTTTCGAATGTAATGAGAATTCCAGTGCAGCTGAACTGAAGATAGATCTTCTTGTAGAAGTTGATGAAACAATACCACAAGCACTCTTTCTGTAGCTGATTGGATAAACTAAGATGACCTGCTTCGACAAGATCTTTAAAAAAATTAATCCACCAATTTGAGCGGTTTTTACGTAAATATGACCACCAACATTCAATGCGTTGATTTGATGGTGATGTACCATATCTGTGTGCTTTTTCACCAGCATATTCATCGTCCCCATTGCATCGAAAGTATGACTGCATAGCAGCCATAATAACATTTTCTGTACCATTGTCAGTTCGTAGTATAGTTGGACATCCCCCATATTCTCTAACAGCATTTAGAAAGTGTTGTCCAGTGATGGCTGGATCATTGTCAACCTCGTCCCCAGGGCCTTTTCAGGAAGGAGGCGAAGGGCAGCAAAGGCCCTGGTAAAGGCTGGTGAAATAATCCACAAATTGTGGATTATTTTGTCACGTGATATATCGGAGCAAATAGTATACAGGGGGGTGCGATCGCGGATCGCTTTAGCTACAACATATTCGTCAATATTGCATAAACACCGAAATCGACAAATAAAGAACAAAAATCTATTTTAAAATGAAAAAATCTGTTAAAGTTCTTCCAAAAATATTGAATAAATCTGAAATTGTCTTCAAATTAGCTCTGAGAACCTTGCTTGAACTGTAAAGGAGATCTATTAAATAGACAAAGCAACAGTGCAAAACGAATGGATCGATAGAAGTATTTATACTATGAATTACTGTCGCAAGGAAATTGCTGCCTCGATTGTGAAACAGATATGTAAAATCACTTTAATTTAATAATATGGACTCTCAATACACCATAACCATGATCATCAAAACATTTAATAGTTATTGTTGCTACAATAGATCTTCCGTGCAAATGTCAATATCATACAGTATATTTATAAACAGTTAAAGGGAGTACAAGGCCCAAAGAATGTCTGAAAAACAAGGAATGTCAACATCGTATGCACTTGGAATTTAAATGCTTATGTTAGCCATATGCCCTGAGTATAACCTGGTTGACCGCCATGGTTAATTAACATTTCCTGAATTTAATTGAGTTGAAATATTTTATTTGATTTTCGTTCTTATCCCAAGAACATTGTGAACACACATATAGTGCTTTGAGTTTAGATTTCAAAGGCCAAGCTTCACAACAAATGTTGTGATCTTAATGATCAGGCATTCCCAAACGATTACATGCACGAGGGTCAAATCAGACAGAAAGCCTCCATATGCTTTATCAAGGCTGAATAATATAATGAGAGGGAATTAATTTCCTCATTATACTGTTAACAAGCCCTTGTTTTTGTTTGTAATCAATTACACAAATTACTTCCCAGAACATTATTTAAGGAGATTATTTGACAAGTCAGCAGGTACATTTTTTCCTGAGCCACAATTGGGGCAATTCAGTGTCACTCATCACAACAGGCGCTCAAAATCACTCACAACATACAACAGACAGTTCAGCATCACTCACTACAATTG